GAAACGTTTGGTGACTTCTGGCGCATGTGCTGGGAGGTGCGCACTTCCACGATCGTGATGATGACCAAGCTGGAGGAGCGGACCCGGATTAAGTGCGACCAGTACTGGCCGACCAGGGGTACGCAAGTGTACGGCCCGATCACGGTGACGTTGACAAACGTCCAGGAGCTAGCCACGTACATCATACGGTCGTTTCACTTGACCCGAGCCGACGAAAACGAAACGAGGGAAGTGAAGCAGCTGCAGTTCGGCGCTTGGCCCGACCACGGCGTGCCCGATCACCCGGCCCCTCTGTTGCAGTTCATGAAGCGAGTACGGGCTGTCAACCTAATGGAATCCGGTCCCGTGGTGGTACACTGCAGCGCTGGCGTCGGCCGGACCGGTTGCTTCATAGTGATCGACGCGATGCTGGAACGGGCCAAGAACGAGCACAGCGTCGACATTTACGCCCACGTCACCTGTTTGCGCGCTCAACGCAACTATATGGTTCAGGTAAGACATTATTTTTCTTTTTTTTTTTTTTTTTTTTTTTGCCTTTTGCCTGGTAAAACGAGATAATGATACCAATATATTATTCATTCCTCCAACAGACGGAAGAACAGTACATATTCATACACGACGCGCTCTTGGAAGCCGTTACTTGCGGCGAAACCGAAGTGCCCGTCCGCAATTTGCCCATCCACATCCAGCAGTTATCCCAGATGGAAGCCGGCACGACAATTACCGGAATGGAACTCGAATTCAAGGTAAACGGAAGAGAAAAAAAGCCGCTTTTATGCCGGTCAAGTTTGGAAGTGTATTTTATCGTAACGTGAATCGGCGTTTTGCAGAAATTGGCGTTGGTCAAGAGCGAATTTTGCCGGTTCGTGAGCGCCAGTCTGCCCGTCAACAAACCGAAAAACCGTCTGGTCCACTTGTTGCCGTACGAGAACACCCGGGTGTGTTTGAGCGGAGGTTCGTCCCGGGGACTCGAAGGGTCAGACTATATCAACGCCAACTTCATAGACGGCTACAGGCAGCGGGGCGCTTACATCGCGACGCAAGGACCCTTGCAGATAACTACCGACGACTTCTGGCGCATGTTGTGGGAACACAACTCTACCATTGTAGTCATGCTCACCAAACTCCACGAGATGGGACGGGTAAGACGCAATAGGCCCCGCCTCCAACGACAGAACGCGCTCACGGTCGTTTTTCGTTTTCTTTTCTGTTTTTTTCAGGAAAAATGCTACCAGTACTGGCCGTCAGAGCGGTCTGTCCGGTACGACACGTTCGTTGTTGAACCCACCACGGAGTACAACATGCCGCATTACATACTCAGAGAGTTCAAAGTGACCGACACGATCGACAACGGATCACGAACCATCAGACAGTTTCAATTCACCGACTGGCCGGAACAAGGCGTGCCCAAGTCGGCCGAAGGGTTCATAGACTTCATCGGACAGGTACACAAGACGAAGACGCAGTTCGGCCAAGAAGGTCCAATCACCGTGCACTGCAGGTATAGTACCGTGCAACTGTAAATAAACGTTTCACCGGACGATGATGATTCAACGTTCGAACGTTTTCGTAATGCTTTTTTTTCCCCTGACAGCGGTGGAGTGGGCAGGACAGGTGTGTTCGTGTCGTTGAGCATCGTATTGGAACGGATGCAGTGCGAGGGCGTAATCGATCTCTTCCAAACGATTCGGATACTACGGACGCAGCGTCCAGCCATGGTCCAAACGGAGGTAACCCGCGCGAACTATTATAATATTATGTTAATAAAAACTATCGAAATATATTCTAAAATTACCTAGCCAAAAATACTCGAAAAACCGTGAGAAATGCGAAATAGAAGGTTCACTTGTGTACCTAGTTGTTATTATGTTTGAGTCCTAGTGATGCGCAACATCCGTTCATAAAATATAAGTTAAAGACGTCGTTAAAATTACAAATAGTATGATTAACAATCCATATTGATGTGAAAAACCTAAAATCAATATAAACGAAATTTCTTTAGATAATATTTTGAATTGCTTAAATTTAAATTGTATAATTTATAATGTGCACGTAAATTGACAAAATTACTGACGTGTACTCTAAAAATGGAAAATCTAACTTGGCCAAACCTAACCATTTATGTACTTGAAAAAATATTTTGTTAGAACACTCACTCTCCCCCCCCCAATAAAAAAATGTGCCCTAATATTCACTTTGTATTGAAATTAGGTCTATAATTGTTATACATTAGTTTCATTTTCGCCATTGTCTACAAACTGTTGTTTTAAAAATATTTAACTATAGACAATATTATTTTATTTACTAATTTCGTCGTGTCCATATTATCATTATTATCATGTTCACACAGGAACAGTACCAGTTCTGCTACCAAGCGGCCCTCGAATACCTGGGATCGTTCGACCAGTATTCCGACTGAGACAGGCCCGACGTGTTCACCTACACCGAACACGCCGTTTGAAAAACAAAAAAATAACCAAAATAAACCGCTGGCGACGCCGAAGGTCGCACGCGCACACACAGCACGGTGACTCGGAGCGAAGAAGTGTCGACTTCTGTCGCCGTCGCCTCAAATTGCCACTTAGAAGATTTATACACTATTATTATTAAATTAATATTATTATTATTTTAGTTGGCCGTATAGACGTATATATTATATATAATTAAAATAGGGGTTTTCTCGCAAAGAACATGTTTTATGATTCAAGCGAGTTTATAAGCTGTGGTCGCGTCAGAGTATACTATGTACACGACATTATTATTATTTTTTGTTATTATACTCTAGTCTCTTGTGCACGCAACACACTCGAAAACTCACTGATTAACTTTAACGCACCACACACTTAAACACACGTGTAATAATGTAAGATATTATTATTATGATTGACGGGTTGTCGTAGACTTAATAACTCTTGTATTATTAATGTGTATCGACAATTTACAGTTTGGTTTTAATTCATTTTTTTCTTACTTTTATTCTCTGAAAGTAAGACTCCCGGTTAGGGTATAACTATATATATAACTCCTAGTCGATCTCTTATTGAAAAAAAAAAAACGATTATCTAGTCTATTCGTACCCCAATTATCACGTTTTATTGACATACACACATTGTAAGTACCTTAACACATATTTGTATGTATAATATTGACAACAGTAGAAATCGTGTAGGTATAGACCAAAAAAAAAATAATGATAATAATAAAATATTTGTAATATGTATATTTAGACAATTTTTAAAATTAATTAATAACGTTATTATATAAAAAAAAAAAATTTAAAAAAAAAAATAATAAAAAAATCCATCGACTGACGTATTTAAGGATAATGCCTTTTTGTGTTCCGCGGTTATTTGTATTCTTATTATTTTTATTTTTTAATTTTTTAACTTTTTTTTATTATTATTATTATTATTTTTTGTATCATTTTATAATTAACTTAACATTTTGGATTTGAAGGTGGTTAACGTTCTTCGTCCGACTTTAAATTTTTCATACTCTACATAAGTGGTTTTACTTATTTATCTATTTATTTATCGTTTAGTTTTTAATTTTGTATCGTTACCTGCCCTCTCTATGCATCACGTTAATTTTACATTGTATAATTTTTTTTTAATTTTTTCATATACCAAAAAACAAAAAAAAAGAAGACAATATATACAAACGTACCCGTCCTCGAACATTATTAGCATATTTCTCATGATATATCGAACCCTGAATACCGACTTAATTTTGTTTTGTTTCCATGTATCTTTTCTTTTTTTCTATAATATAACATATAATTTCAAAGCCGCTCACGCTTAAAATTGAAATACAATCACTCTCGCGTAATGCTGCAGGCTTTTTCTACGCTTTTATATAGGTTTAATAATATTGTTACATGCACAAATCGGTCGGTTAACTTATTAATTGTTTCGGCATATCAAATTAATTATATATTATATATATTATTATCCTTGGGCAACGTGTTTCTCTATTGTACATAGTATATAATTCAATCAACTTATTAGGACACTGTTATTATTATTATTATAATTATTATCAATAATTAAATATTGTATAAAGAAACGAACAAAAAATTTGACAAAACATATGATTACCTATTAATAAAAATAAAAATTGTTGATGGTTTGACAGTTTAGTTAAAATTATTGTATTGTAAAAAAAAAAAAAATGTAATAATTTTTATTTGTATTTGTCACCAGTCAAATGGTCCATTATTAGAATATTATCTATAATTAATAAATTGTTTATATAGGAATTAAACATTTGAAAAAACAAACAATTAATATAAATTTGGTGGTTTTTATTTTTTATGTTTTAAACTCTTTTTGTCCTTTTCCCCTAAACCAATTTAAAATTGAAAATTTTATTTTGTTTTTTTTTTTTATCAAATTTCCCCCGATAATAAAATCTATTACACTGCCTTGTGCTTGTGGTTTTTTTACCTGCCACTTTTAGACATTTAAGACCCTGAACCAAAATGATCTCAAACTTGGGAATTGAGAATTGTTAGTTGTTTTATATGAAGTGATAAAAATTGGGATTAATTTTAATACAAATTTAATCATGTTGTGAGTGGAGAGTATTCTAAGCTGTGTACACCTCTAAAAACTCCTCAAATGCAGCCAGAGGGATGCAATTTTGTATATGTGTTGATATAAATAATATTCCTTTTGATGGTTTAAAATTTCAGCTCGAACCATTACAATTTTAAAAACTTAACCAAGTTGGGAAAGTGTAAAATCATACAAATATTCAACGAAATACAATTCTAAGCGAAGTTCAATTAAACATGTTTTGAACTTCTCATAATGAATGTATAGAAAATTACTTACCTGTTATTCAACATTATGTAGTGAAGAATTAAAATTATTATTTTTTATCGAGAGTTGAATCAAGTCTAATCAATGGGCATTGACAATTTAAAAAGTTAATTTAAATTACACCTCTATATTCAGAGTGTATCGAAAGACTATTGGTTTTACTATGGTTTTTCTTTTTGTTTTTGTCTGCGCAACTTTTCTACCAGGAATCTTACACCGTCAAGTGTAGCACCATTAATGAAATTTTATCTATGTTAGGTGAGGAGGTTTTTTTTTTTTTAGTTATGAAAATAAACCCAATAAACCTGTTGTTACCCAATAAATGGATAAAAAACGTTGGATAAACAGGAAAACTAATGAAATGTATTATATATTATATTGAAAATTATGTTATGCAACATTTATGCAATTACTCAAAAATATTAAATTAATATGTTTTTTTGTCCAAATATGCAAAAAATAATTACAATTAAATTAATAATAGGTTCCTTACTTTATTCGCTAATAATACCAATAATAATTATACGACATAATATTAGTAAATAAATACCATTAATCTGCCTACTATAAAAGCTTATGGCTGCGTGAGTGTAATATTATAATAATATACAGAGTTTACCAGAAAAGACTGGCCAACTTTACAGTTTGTTATTCTACCTAGATATTATAATAAAAATATCTAATATTTTTAAAAAGAAAAGAGTGAATGTTAAACATTTTATTTGACAAATTTCTACTATGAAAACAACAAACATTATTTTCCATTAAATGTCCCTTCTTCGAATTGACTCCAATAAATAGGTTATGGTTCTCAAATTGTCTTCGAGAGCCGATTCTTTCGGTTACGGTTTCAATCCCGGGCTGTAGGTCACGCATAGACAAACAGACTATTCCATTTGTTTATGTAGATATAACATAATTAACAAAAAGTAAACTGTTGGTACACGTTTATATTTTAATAAAATTCGTTGCAATCGTATTAATACAAAATAATTTGAACATAATCTTTAATCTAATGTCGTTAAAACAATTAATTAGGCAACGATTTTTTTAAACAATAATACGATGTACCTATTTATACAGAAACGCGCATGTGCGCTGGTAGAGTTCGTTTTTCCGTCCTTATTTATAAATATTTTATGAGTAAACGATTCGCGTAAAATAATATTTAGGAGGCACCTGTAACAATATTATGCCAACGCGCCAAATTTGCGACGGGCACAATGAAAAAGTCCCGCAGAAGCTAATTCGTTTTAAATTCTACGCAAATGTATAAATATATACGTACGATTTAAATCGATTGATTAAATGTTAGTAAAATAATATAATATATAGTAATGTAATAGTATAATATACGATTTGAAAGTTATAAATTATACTAATAAAACGCGCAAATATCATTAAATAAATGTGCACATTTTCGGCGTAACAACAACTCGAGATTATCTTATGTATGGTATAAATAATAATAGGTACCTATGGGTATTGCGGGGGGCGGTACAAAGTACGGTTTAAGACAATTGAAATATTGCGTTTGTCGCCGGGCGATCTGTAATACGGTGACCAATCGGGTAAATCCAATCACAATTTTCTTAATAGTGTGCTAACTGCTCGTAGTGGACAATATAGATTTGTGTATAGATATTGCGGTATTATCACGGTGATTTAAACGACACTATTATCGGTCACGGGTGATTCTATAACTCTGTTATTGAAAATTATAATACATAAAACCGTTATCAACTAAGTACAATAATTACGATTTAAAAAACAAAATTAAAAATTGTTTCGACGCGCTGTATAAGTGTAACGATTCGACGAATTATTATGGCGGGATTCATTTCGTTGGTCTTACTACGAGACGGTCGATATATTTTAAACAATGGTAGGTGTATAAATAAAACACGACGCGTGTGTTTACATATGCCTCGAGTTGCCGAACGATCCGAGTCCGGATTGCGAGGCTCCCTTGTTGAAGCCCATCTGCAGGTTCAGGTGGCCCTCGGACGCTCTCAACTGTTCTTCAGTGAACTCTCTCTTGTTGGCGTCCGCCATTTTGGGTCCAAGTCTCGGTCCAGTGTACTCGGGGTGCTTTTGCGTCTGCGAATAACAAATGGTCAGGTCGGGTGACAATGCAACGCCATAACGGTAAATATTTAAATGATTTGGTAAAATTATTTTTTCCCTGCACGTTTACCGGTCTCTAATATCGTGGAAGTCAGAAAAATATGACGAACGTCATATTATATACGAGGTCGAACGTGGGTATAATATTTTCAGCTCGATTTTATATTGATTAAAATTGTCCCTCTCTCAGAAAAAACTTTTTCGACCGTTTTATATTGGAATACCTGGTAATTTACGGTAATAAATACTTACGATCCGGGCGAGTGAGTACAGGCACAGCGTCACCTGTGGTATGTTCCGACGTTCGAACAGATCGGCTGTTTGGAAAATTTCCTCTTCCGGCACGCCGTATTTTTTTATTGCTGCCTGAAACCTGCAACACGATACACAATATTACTACGCGTTATTTTTACCGGAAGTATCGTGTTTTAAAAAAAAAAAAAAAAAAAAAATTGGAAGGTTTTTAACATCGCAACATGACGTGCCAAATGTATATTATACATAATTTCGAGTTCAAAATTAATGAGAAAATGGTTTTTCGTTCCGACTTTACGTATATCACACTCGAGCGCGTTCGTAGGATTTCTGTCGTCGGATCGCCCAAAATACCCCATCTCTGTCCAGTAATATACGTTATTATTAATCGTTACGCGTTTTACTTTTGATTTGTCCACCGAAGTTTTACGACAGAATTTTGGCCCGGTCACACGCGCAGACCGCTGGATCCTAACGTATAGCTCGGCAACTCGCCCGTCCAATCCGAAACACGCCTTCTACGTTTACGATTCGAACCAAAATATTGTTTTTCTGTCTATCGTTTAGTTTTTTTTTTTTTTTTTTTTTTTTATGATATGTTTGAAATTTACAATTTTTTACTATATTTCACCCTGTTCGAAAATCACATTAGACTGAACTGCAATAATATATACCTATAGACTTCCAAAAACATTGTCAAAAAAAAATTCATGTACTCACCTCTGAATGTTCTCCATCAGCTGAAAGTTCGTGCCCTTGGTCTGTATCTTTTTTACCGATCCCGGGCAGATCTTGTTGATGAGATTGCACAGTACCACGCCGTTCTTGAGCTGGTCCTCATACGACACGTCGGCTGGCATAGTCTCGCCTAACACCTGACCGATCCACTCCAACACCTCTTGCTCTTGTTCCTTGTTTTTGACCTGCAGACATTTGATTAGTGAGCTACATTTTTCACTTATTTATTTTAAGTATAGGACATCCGACATAGGTATAGGTATAGTGAACCACGGATACATTAGGCAGGGAACATTTTTATTTTCACGATGGTCAGAATTTTGTGTTTCAACGCGATTCGAATATCGATTTGTTTAATAGTTGCGTCAACAGAACGCCAATGCCACCACATTCAGTATTAGCTATAATCAGATTTAAGAGCATTAATATACTGTTAAAACTCATCCCGTATTCGACATTAGATTGGAACCCTTCGCTTGTTTATGCTACGTGCAGTAAACATTATGTATTCAATATTTTCCAAAATTTAAAATTGAAGTAAAAGTCAAGTGACAACGACTTATTAATGACAAGTGTTGGTATTATGATAATTTATTTATTATTGAAAAAATAAAAACTAACGATGGCACAGGCGTTAATGAACGACTTCGACGTTTAACAGTCCCGAATTACGTATAGACAAGTAAACTCGTTAATCAGATCAATTAATTTAAAAAATATTAATTATTCAAATACGAAATTCAATTATAAATAATAAAATTATTCAAATAACAATTCAAATTGATACACTTCATACATCGATTAGATCAACGATTGACGAATAAAGCCTTTTAGAAATATAAAATATTACAAACGTCATTTACCCGGTTGCCCGGCATGCCACTCCGCCTCTGCTTCATCCAAATATTTTATTGTCGCTCACTTTCGTTCTAAACTTCCTTTTGACACCAGCAAACATCATGCACCCCGGTACGTTCTCTCACCTGTTATCGTCGCGCACATCTGCCAAAGCCTCGTTTAGAAATCCTCATTATCTTTGACGTAATTTTACACTAGCTGTAAACCTGATGCAACCCACACATAGACTTGCTTACGACAGGTAGAAGTACCGTGGGACCGTACTGATCTCCTCCTACAGGAATAATCGCATTAGACTATAACGTGAACTATTTCACCCTACAAGAATAATACTATATGCCAATTGAAATCATGGGCTTTCCACCAGTATGTAACTTGGTGCCCCAGATTCGTTAAACGGACATAGCATCATTTTTTGCTGTCTTTATAGATCTAATGTATCGATTAGATTTAAAGAAAAAAAACGCGATATTTTTGCCTTAATGCGTTTTCGCAGTTATTTTTAGACTTTGCCAATATGTATACGTATGTATGATATACGGGCTGTTGCAAAATACTACAACAACGTCGCAGCTCCATAACAAAAACAGACAATCACTTTTTTGGCGGCTGCTCAATGTTTTGTGTAATAAAATTATTTAAAAAAAATCACGAGTGTAATAATCTAAAACATTGACCTCCTTTTTTTTTTCGGTATATAAAACCAATGGTTATAAAATATTCTATTTTTATACAACTAACTTAAACTCCTATACCCATTTCCACGTATATACGATATTATAGTAAACGTAAATTTAAGTTTCTAATACGTTATATTCGTAGAGATAAGAATAACGTTATCATAAATAGCGTTAGGTTCCGAACAAACCCATTCAAACATAGGATTGAATAGGGAAATTTCAGTTAGAATTTGTAAAAATTAGAATCGTACGATTTTATGCTTTGAATAATTGAAAACGGTATTAAAAGACCATCACGTTCAACCTCTTAAAATAATATAATATTTGAGTTTTATTGTTATCTTTAGTCTTTTATAATGTCTAGTCAAGGTAAACACACTCAGTGGTCAATTCATCTACTTATTCTGGAACTGCAATAATTGCAATTACCTGATATTTTTCTGACGTGTTAAATTTTAAAAACATTCTGGTGATTTTTGAGGTGCAAAAAGTCAGCATTTTGTTTAGATTTTATCCGGTTTCACGTGTTTTAAAAAACAGTATTTTTACTCAGTATAAAAATGTTCGACAATTTAACACAAGGTTCATCTTAAGTTTTACTTATAGAGGCCAAAAAAGAAAAAGTTCAGTGTAATGAAGTAATTTTTTTATAGGCGATTTAAGTAAAAATTGCGACATTTCAAAACATGATGTTTACTGAACTTCGGTCAGAATCTTTTTATGCAAACATTTTTCGTTGCACACAAATATATAAATTAAATTACTATTTACTAATTACTATTGTATCCCATACTTCCCCACCTACAATAGTGACATACCCGTCAGGTCAACTTATTTTTTTTTTATTTTACATGAGTGATGGTCGTTGGAGTATGTTAATACACGAACATCGTCGGTTCCAGACTTTTCGGAGTTCTTAAAACAGTATCCTAGCTATGCAGTGTGCAGTGTCATGTATCTTTTGTTATATTCTGGTTAGTCATTGCAAATTCTTCCGGGGAAATGTCTAGAGTTGAGCTTTTTTCACTAGTTTCTACTCGTATTTTCTCTCTCCCGGTTAAAATAATGGTCATAATTTGATTTTTCGATATAATAGATCGCGATGCCAATCACACTTATCGCGGTTATAGTTACCGTCTAAAACCGCTGAATCGTGTTGAATAAAATTTGACGTGACACGGACTCACGGCATTACTGGCGTACCACCTCATTAATATTCTCGACCAACCACGGTTACTGGTATACCTTATGCGCGGTTACTTTCCGTGCGATTCGGGTTTAAGGTACGACGGAAGTCGAAAGTCTGTAATCGTGTCGTACATTCATCGTCGTTTTTCCGGGCTCATGGCTCTGCACATTCAGTACGTTATAAATCGAGATAAATCGCATTCGGATTCTGTCACTTGTTAGTTACCGATTTTCACCGCGTTTTCTGAACGATGAATGGAAGATTCTTGTGCCGAGCACTCGTGAATGGGGATTGTGTGTGCGAGTGTTTTCAACGAGCGTATATATTATTTATATAATCGGTCGTGCGACAAATCATCTTGACACATTTCTTTGTAAATACGCGGAAAATTGGCACGGAAGAAGATGCTGTCGGACCAAATAATATATTCCTATTTCTTTTTTTCTTTCAAAAATATTATTATTTACTATCACGTAAAAAATGATATATGTATATGTAGTTTTTCACTCCACGATCATCGAACATCGACGACAAAATTACGGACGTATTATTGTATGCGTCGCCTCTTGACCCGCCGAAAATCTGTGCACCGCGTGGTTTCCCGCCCGACGCCGCCAGTAATAAATTAATCAAATGCGGGCATCCGTGACACCAAGGCAAAATACAAATAATAATAAAAAAAAAAAAATCAAAATTTTGAAGCTAAAAATTATGTATGAACTAATTTAATACTTTACGACAAGCGCGTGTCCGGAGATTTTTTTTTGAGTGGAAAAATGTTTACAGATTTTTCACCATAAATACACTATTTCAAGCCTCCCTCCCCACAACCCGTCATACTTTCATTTAAAACCACTCAATCTCTAAAATATCGTGGAGAAATTGCAGTTTCCTCAGGCTTCTCACAAATATACTGAAAGTGCACATGAGTGTACGAAATTTCATCAGAATCGGACTAAAACTGTAGACCGTATTATAAAGAACAAACACACAAACAAACTTTAAAATGTAAATAAAATAAGTAGGGAACCGATTTTATTGCATTAAAAAATACTAAAATATGTAAACAAGACAACAAAAAAGTAAAGTTTAAAATAACAGAAATGTTATTTAGTTGTGTAAATATTCCCGTTTTCCAACGATTGTTTTCTCATTATTCGGAAAACTACAAGAAATGTAAAAAAAATAAATAATAATAATAACCTTGCCGATATACCAACTGCGAGACAACATTTTCTATCAGAAATTGCGACTGATGTTGACACGATTGCACGTGTTGACATGTTGCACGATTTCTGGTTGACATGTTTTTAACAGATATACAAAATAAAACATAAACCGCATCGGAAATTCTCTAAATATTTACAAAATATGTTTTTATACCGAAATTTATCGGATTAAATTAACACCAATATTTGTTCAGAAATTCATAGAGCATATTTTTATCAAACCAGATATGAAATATTACAACTAAATAAATATTATGTTTATAAATGTATAATGGCAATACAAATTCGTTGCTTATGTATAATAAAAAAAAAAAAAAACGCAGCAAAATCTGAATATATATAATTCTCCCCACCCTCTTCCCCGAAATGAACGCCAGCGATAAAGTTGTTTATATTTCCGTAAAATCTTTTGATGGCGCCGCGGAATTTCTGCATTTCGCCAATCGTTTATATTCATAATGTAGAACGATTAAAACGTAGGTTTTATTTTTAAATGTGACTTCATCGCGGTTTCGGGTAACATTAACATCAATCAGTTCTGTGTTTGTTCTTAATAATATTTATAACTTTTATTTTACCACGAAAAAAAAATAACCGGTATATTATTTCCTGTTTACCGTGTAAAAATTTAGAATTTCTCATCTACCACTGCGATACTTCAGAATAGTATGATTCTTTCCGGTGCGTAACTATAATTCGGATTTTTTTTTACGCAGTAATATATTTGACACATAGTTCAGTATAATTTATGTTTCGTGATAGAAAAAAAAAAAAAAAATTAGTTGAGCGTATAATATAGTAATTTATTATTTTGTTTATAAGCGCCGGAGGTTCTATTTTTTAATTTACGTGGATTAAACGCGTTTTTTATTTCATAAAAAGGCTCGAAAATTTGAGTTAATAAAACACAGATGACAATTCGAATTTATTTTGTATGTTTACAAATTAAGTCAATTTTCAATTTAAGTTTATCTACACATCTGAACCTCACTCAGAATCTCTTTCCGTTAAGAATGATTGCAACATGTAGTTAACGTTGCAATACTATTAACAATGATAATATAATAATTATTCTATATACCCTGCTTGAAATCTTCTTAACTCCCCACCCATATAACAGTAACATATTAATAGTGCGAAGAACATTTGTCTTTTTTCGGTTTTGTGAGAACATTATATAATATCGAACAAATCATTTATGATAGGAAAATTATAGTTCTACGACTAAAAATGGATAGTAAGACTAAATACTCGGGATACGCGCGGGATAGCTTGTCAGGTCATTGTCTCTGTGGATATGGACTCATCACGTGTTATACACATATGCTGATTTCCATCAATTGCGGATAAAGATAAATGCTCGTCACATGCTTCAGAAGTGAATCCGTATATTAAATCATAATTTTCATTTTTTATATTCCCGTTATTGTTTTCGTATTTTATACTCTTAAAATTTATTAAAAATCCATTATTGTGTCACGGAACAGGACAAATGGGAATACAGGAAAACCTAAAACTCAAGCGTTAGAAAAACGATCGATCTTATAGACGGATGCTTAAAATAAACCAGACAGAATAAAACCGATGAAGTCTTTGGAAGAGTCGGAGAAATAATTATCACTTCTTGGAGATGTTGAAAACGAGCAGTTGTGACTGTCTTCATAAATACAACAGGTACTAACTAAAAACAAATGAGTACCGTCACCTATAAATATTATATCGGTTAACCCCCCAAAAAATACTCATACCTGTCTATATACGTTCGAAAAGTGTGTTAAAACGTCCATCAGACCTTCCCCAAAATAATAATATGCCATAAAACAAGGTGACTATACGTCCTGTTTTTCAACTTGGTGTCCCGTGTTTTCAAACGCAGTTAAATTGGACGAATTTAAATCCGATCTCCGTGTCTGTCTTGTTTTAATTTTTTTTTTTTTTTTTAATATATTTATCAAAAATCGATAGTTTAACGATTATTTGATAAAAACATAGTTTGCTTAAATCTGCTTTAGATATTTCTATTAGTGAAATATATAAAAGATTGGAAAATGTGTGCGTTACAGTTATGCCACAAAACTGTTCAATAATGTAGCATCCCATATCTTCGTTTTTGTATGTCACGCTAAGGTAAAGTTGACTTTAAACATTTTTGGTTAAAATAATACTCGAATCGACAATCGCGTCTTATCAGTAGCACGCAAATTATCCCCGTAATACTTTGGTTGCGCGACTATCGGAATAACGTTTTGTTTCTTAGATAATCTAGAAGCGATAACTACACAATGTATACGGATAATAATAATTAATTGCATATACTCGTACATAGAGTTAAACTACACTGTTTGTTCATTGCAAAAAAAATTGCCCCGGTTCTTTTGGCTATTTCGTTTTTAATCGATTAGAATAGTACTAAAACTCGTGTCCACAAAAACGGAGAAACGAACTATATGGCGACGATGTTTTATAAGAGTTTCGAAAACGAATCCGATTCTATACTCAGTTTCGAAACTTACAAGGACAAATCTAAATTTAACCGAAAATTAGTGACTGGTAATTCGTTTCAAAACTACGTATCAAATTCTATAATTGGATCATATGAGTTTTGATACTGAACCACGTTTCACCAAAGTCGAAAATCGCATGACACACACTATGGAAACTTGTATATTGCATTTCAAGCGTTATTGAAAACATCAGATTGCCCGTGCTTAGGTATCAGAGGCAAAGCTATAAAACTTTCAAATTTCAAACTGAAGAAAAACAACATATATATATATGAATAATGACTAAGATAGTCGACAGTTTTGACAGCGGTGCTTTGAATTTCCTAATTCTAAAACGCGTAAAAAAAAAAAAAAATATGAATTTTCGATTTTTTTTTTTATCGTACAGGAGAATCTCTACCGAGACTGTCTATCGGTTTTCGCAATTTTTCCGAACGTGTAATGTGCACGACTTACCGGCATCGTCGCAGTGTTCCGCCGCGGGCAGTTTTCGCGCGGATATCGGTTCTTTTCGACCCGGCGCCGGTTATTCGCCGATTTCGCGGACTGCCACGATATATACTCGGGCGATGCGGACTTGACGCACTAGTAATTCTGCGCTACGCCACTGTATCGAACACGGTGACGCGTGCGGGATGCGAACGGGAGGCGGCTGACAGATCGTGGCCTGGCGACTAGTGTCCGGACGCTGGCGGGTCGTGTGTGCGTCCCCGGTGCCGTCGGGTCGCAGTTTTAAACCGCGTCGGCGACGGACGCGCACGCCATTAACCGCCGCCACACCGTCCGCGTCCGTTTATTTTTAGACCGCGTTTAATTATCCGTCGGACACGAGACTTCGCGGTAAAACACGTAATAACCGAGTATATATAATTTTTTTTTTTCTGTTTTTCCCCTCCCCCCCGTTTCGCGTACACTCCCCCGCTCGGGAGACCCCATCGTCTTGATGCGTTCTAATGTACGCGGCGTTACGTTGCACACTACGTATTACTGTATATCGTCGCACGTGTGGGTTTTCCTTTTACCCGCCATATTTTATACACAGACTTTTTTTTTCCATTTTTTTTTTTTTTTTTTTGTCTTTGGCCGGCCGCCGCGGCGGCGATCCGGACGATTTGCCGGACGTATACGTCGACAAACAATAATTACGATAATATTTTACGCGTGTGTATGAGTGTTATGTCTATAATACACTCGTATTAATTATCGTTAATATCACGCGTGTCAACGTTTGTAATATAATTATTGAGAAATCCGCGACGCGCCCCAATTTCACGCGCGAACCCGCGTAAAAGCGATATTAATATTTCAGAATAATATCATAATAACCGCGGACGACTCGTCGCCGGAAACGACGCCAGAGGAAAATAAATAATAATTTCAGTGTTCGCGGTCGATTCCTGCTTTCGAATATTATACCGTGCGCCCCTGCGTCTGCAGTTTACCGAGCCAGTGGCGTCCCAGACAGCAGGGACGGCGTTAAGGTGTTCTGACACCTCCCGCCACACCACGAAATTTCTTCTTAATAGCTATAAGAGGTTCGCTTTTCTGTCGAATTTTCCCCGAAAATAGAGACTGTATTGCATTGAATTCGATTCTGAGTGGAGCGAGTTTTACAATTATGTTAATTTTCTTTTGTTTTTCTGTGGCCAGCTTTTCTGCCAACGTATTTGCTCCGATTTTTAGTGATAGCGCTTTTTCTAAAAGGAAATCTGACTGGGAAATTACTTTAGAAAGTTGATTTTCACATGACTTTTCCCAATAAATGGAAAAATCCAGAGGAAAACGGGAAAATTTATGAAATTTAGGTATTAGTAAAAAAATATTACCGCCCCGTATTTGCCTTTTCTAGACGTGGTTAAATTTTCAAAATATTGTGGTCATTTTTTAATTATCTTTAGATATTTTTTATTACGGAACATTTCGGGTAATATATTGTTGACAATGCAACACTATCAATCGAATTCCGCTCAGAATCGGTTTTTCATTAGTAATGGTTAATCGTTGCTTACAGGTATACATTAAATTACCAATAACAGTGACTGCACCCGTCTTCATTATCTTAGGACAGCTTTTGCGACTGTTATTCTTAACATAAAGTTTTGGGCACATTTAAATGCTCCCTCCGGACCAAATGAACTCGAACCCAGGAACACGATGTGTTTTATAGACGGATTGCAGTGATACGGTTTCTGATCAATTCCCCTTCTCTACCCTATCGTGTTATTGTGGGAGAAGAGTGGTTTTTAACTCTGTGACGTACCCCCTCAAATGTCGGTGATATTTTGTATATGCATGATGGTGTAAAGTATACGTGCCTTTTGGAGGAATTAAACTTTTAAACCGCGCAAATTTCCTGTTTTCACTAGTGGTTTTAAAATACAATTACATATTAAAAATTAACGGGGACACTGTCCAAAATGAATGATCCCAAAATTGAATTTCACATTATTTTATTAAAAACTTCGGTTTGTAAAACGGACACCTGTGTGATGAACGGAAATAATATGTGCTTCGATCGGTTTTAATAGTAATTTTTAAAACTACGGTTACGTAGAAAAAATTAGTACACCGAACGCTAGAACAATAATGAAAATATTTTACATTTTTCCGTATGCTTTTCCACTGCAGCCCCTACACATATAGCATACCTACATCATAAATCCAACATTGTTTCCTTAAAAATATCATTTTTAGATTCATTTATTAATAATTAATAAATTTAAGCAACGAATATTCTAAGGGATATTAACTCATTCTTATTCATGCGTATTTGTACTATTTTCACTGGGTATATGCTAATTTAACGAATGACAAATGGGTATACGCCGAATTGGTACCCCAGTATACCTTCCGAAACTCCATTGCACGAATCGTGAATTATTTACAACACATGAAATATCGGAAATGCTCGTTTTACGTCACATGTAAAGAATGAAAAAGATCTATCAATTGGTTTTTAAAATGTTTGTATAGAAAAAATTATCCATTTTTAAGCTTAGTGCTTAATATCTATTTTAATTTTCCATATCAGTATTCAGAGTAAAATAGTTTTAAAACAATATATATATTTTGTTTTACATAAATGAAATAGGATTTGTCAAAATAAATTATTCTTTGAGAGAGAAAAGACCTATATCAACAATGCATTATTACTGATACAGAACATTCATCATAAAAAAGTTTTAGCGGTAAATTTGAAAAGGTTCTATCACTGCAGCGCTCCCGACCAAAACCTTTACAAAGTACGAAATCATTTTGTTTATCACTTTTTTTTTTTATTTATCAATACCGGTTTAATCGATTTGACTTGTCACCCTCTCAGATTCGGGGTTATAATAAATTTAATTTTGAGTTTTAAAATTTGAATATATTTTTCCGAAAAATTTCAAAACGACGACCTAAAACCTTTTCATTCTAATGAGATATATTATTCGTTTATGCGTCCATTTTTCTTATTTTATACGAGTAATAATTGTTTTATATAATATCCAAAAATAGAAGGCTATAAAAAAAAATTCGATCGACACTCGAAAGTTTTAATATAATGAACACATGAGTACTATAGTATTATATATTGTAATAAAACTAATGTTCGATGTTCATTTTATGTACCTAATAAACTACGTCATATCATAACGTCCTCTTAATGATATGACGTAGTCATACCAGACACTGGCACGCGGGAAAAAAATATTTCGTTACAAGAGGCGCACACGCATTGAAATAGAATCAGCCGCGAGCAGTGTATTATATAATATTGGTATTGGGTGTACGTAGTTATTCGTTCATAACTAGAGCGCGGATTTATATTCTCAAAAACAGCCAAAATATGATTATTATCTTCTTTTAACAATTTTGATTTAATATTCTCTAAAAGTATTAGTGAAATATAAAAATACGTACTTGTGTGCAAATCAAATTTAATAAATAATAATTAACAAAATCAATAACATTATTAAAATGATTGTAAACTGATTTTAGATTCTGAGTGGAGCGAAGAAGCATATAATTTTACAAAGATGTTTATTTTTTTTTTCATCTGTCCGCAACTTTTCTACCAGAAGACTTGCTCGGATTTCTACGTGTAGCACCTTTTCTGAAAGGAAATCTACGTAAGGGGGTACTTTAAACAAGTTATTTCTCGATTTTCCCAATATTTTTCCCAGCAAATGTGGAAAACCGAGAAAAACATAGGAAAACTGGGAAAATCGATTCAACATTAAACGAATATTATTAAAGAAAACATATAAAGCCTATTTAATTATTTTACTCTAAAATGGCATTTATGTTGTTGACAAAGCTGCCATTATCAACTGAACTCCGCTCATAATCGTTTTTTCGCAAGCAACTGTTTATCGCTGCTGACAGGTATACATTAAATTATCTATAACAGTGGCTGCTCCCGTCTTCATTATCTAAAACAGCTTCTTTTTAAATATGTATATTTAATAATTAAAATACTGTTCGTCTAAATTTAAGACATTATATTAATAAGAAATCGACTCCACATACTCAATCAGATTAAATTCATACTATACATAAATAGTGGTGGTCCCACTTATATGAACTGCATATTCATATTTTAAATTATTTTTATCGAGTAATTTAGATATTTTAACGCGTTGCTGCAACTCGGATATAGCCTATAAATGGGATTACCGTTATATCAGCTTCTCTCAGAAATCGTCAAAGACCGAAACTCGTATGCAGCCCTTTATATTTGTTTAAAAATAGGTACCTAATATTCAGTCTACGTTGACGGTGAGGGATTTCTGGTCTGGAACACGGCGCGCGGTTCTTGCAGTTGTTAAGAATAGATTTTGACAATGACGTCCGCTGCTGCGCAGTCGAATAAAACGTACTGTTATTACTTTTCTCCACAGTTTTTAACGATGAACAAGAGCTATGTCAACATTTATAAACCAGGAAAAAAACGTTGGGGAAATGTCAATAATTTCACGTACATTTTAACCAGCAAACGGTGCATGTGATCAAATTAAATGATACATACTATTATTTTGTCTATATGTTTGGTTCATCTGATTTTTTTTAGAACACCACCACCACCTAGTCAACATACATTCAATACGTATAATCACACGTCAAACATACCGATAAACTGATAAAATTTGTCAGATTTAATGTTTTGAATTTTATTTATTGAGTATTACTGGACGTACACTTGTTAGCGTTACAAATTTTAAAAGTTAAATAACTTTTAAAGGTTTGTTAGAGTGACTTTTTAAAGTTTTAGTGCCTACGACTTCACGTATAAGTGATTTTAGCGATAATTCGATTTTTTTTTCAGGGCAGATGGTTAATCGACATATAGTTTAGTATAATTAATCAGAAAGATAGAGAAATTTCAAGTAAAATAAAATAAAAACTTTTTTTTTCAACCGCATTGTTAAAATGTTAATGGAAAAATAGTATCCCTGCAATGATCAGTTGGCAAGTTTAAATTAATTTATTATAATGTGCAGACTAGCACTTATATTATACACTATGTTCTTACTACTACTATTAACATATTACTTCAGTATATACTTAGAAATATCACAATAATGAAGTAGGAAATAACACAATAAAAATTACAAAATACAATTAAAAATGTATTATGTATCTCATATTTTATAAAATTACCTACAAAATCAAATATAACTCATATCATCATAAAATTAAATTAAACATCCTTGGAACAATAATAAATTACACAAAAGTATCTGTCGCAGGATAATAGAGACGGGTTGAAATGTTAGGAAAGTAGCAGAGAGGGAATTTAATGTATATCTGTAAGTAACGATCGACCATTGCTAACGAAAAAACGATTCTGAGCGGAATTCAATTGATAGTGTTGCTTTGTCAACAATATGTATGTCACATTATGGTAAAATAATTACATAGACATTATGTATCTTTTTAATCATATTTGTTTAATATTGTACCTATTTTACGTTTTTCCTGGTTTTTCCCATTTATTGGGAAAACTCCTTTGAAGATCGAAAAATGATTTCCTTGAAGTACCTTCCTAGTCCGATTTCTTTTTAGAAAAAGTGAATCACACTTGTGAATCGGAGCAAGTTTTCTGTTGAAAATGTTGTCCGCAAAAAAAAAAAAAAATAAAAAAATAAACGCTTTTTTGTAAAACCATAAGCTTCACCGCTCCATTCAGAATGTTAAATAATTCTATAATTTCATGTACCTATATAATAGTATTTTGACGAAAATATCATGTTGTAGTTGATTCCGCGAACTGAAATTGTATTGGATGCACTTTGTTACCACACAAGTTACCTATTACTATCCATTAACGCGTACATTCAATTAGTTAACCCCGCAGCATGTTTTATACGCGCGTGTTTTTTGTACTAATAATTTATTCGAAACTTTGAGAGTTCGCCAAAAGCACGACACTAATGTAAACAGACTGCAGTGCTAAAATGATTTATTCACAAGATCATTATACGCATTTTTTTTTTTTTTTTTTTTTTATTAATAATAACGAATTCTATACTATTTTTTTTAACAAATTAGTTTAGTTTGTATTATATTATTATTACGGGATATAATATTTAAATACGATCGGGTACCTCGTTGAACATACTGTGCCATGTAATCAATAATATTTCTTCACGTATGTATTTTTTTTTTTTAAAGAAAACAAACAAAACGTATAAGAGCTGCCAAAATATAATAGTATAAGTAAAGGTACATTTTGCAGCAATACTTTGACATACCGGGCGTCTGCACTCTTGGACGGATATACAACATTTTATATAAATAAGTTTTAAAAAAAAAAGTTGATACTGCTGATAAGTGTGCAACTGTTGGAACAAATGGAAATTTAAGAAGGTAAGACACATGTTACATAGAATTATTTAATTTAATAAATAAATGACTATGTAACGAAATTCTGAACGAAGTTGGAGTACACATGTTTTGAAATCTTATGGTTTTTGTAATTTCGTCAAAATGTGAACATTTATAAAATATGTATAAAAAAAAAAAAATAAATATTTTTTTTTCATATTTAGATCAATTAAAACAATTGTGTTCATTATCATATGTGCAACATTCATCGTACGCTAGTTTTAATAATGCACCACTACTCTCCTCCTATCCATTTTTAAAAGTGGAATGTCTCATCAATGAATTGATGGAAATCAAAAATTTCAGCAGCAAAATTTAATTTAAAATAAGGATGACGAAAAATAGCATACGTGTAAAATTCCGAAAAAAGTTATTACTTTCCGAGATATTAAGTGTCTTACGATAGATTGATCGCTCTGTATATACATTTGTTTTAACACAAATTAATTTAAACACTATAGGAAAAAAAAAAACGGACAAACCACCGGAAAATACTCAAAGATTTAGTTAATACCCACTAAACATGGTTTATTATCTAGGTATACATACTTAAATCCTTTTATTATTGCAAAAGAAAAACACGACCTTGGTTGTTTATCTCCCAAATCCTTCGTTGTAAGTCTGCCACTGATCCGACTGCAAAGAGGTGTGTAATTTGAAGTGTAGGTATTAATTATGAAACAAAGAGGTGTCGTTCGATTCGTTTCGATTACGAAATTAATAATACATGCTATATATTGTATATAATACAGGATATATTGTGAAGGCTGTATCGCTAAACGTTACCAGCCGAGATCGGTCTCGGACTCGAGCACGATCGTAAATTGTTTGTATTTTTTACATACAACGTAAAACTTCGATATAACGGTAGCCGGAGGGACCGGAAAAAATGACCGCTATATAGAGGTGGCCGTCCTATCGAGGTGTCCGTCAACAGTAGTGCAATATTTTCAGATGACCGCTACATAAAGTGCGCACAAAAAAAAAACCAATTTCCGTCATTTAAAAACCGTATCTTTATTTTTTTATTAAATCGGTGGCTTGAGATCTGCCTATTCCAAATTGATCTGCGGGAGCACGTGTGCTCACGTTTTCTTTTTAATAATACTCGTAACAGCTTGATTTTTTCTGCTACAGTTGTCATAACCACGTAAAACGTTTTTAACTGACATTGGAAACTAACGAAACATAACATAACATACCCGGAACCGCTGTGTTCATAGCGTTATCGTAAAATTTCAATAAGACAACAATAAACTGCCACAAATAATCTGGACAAACCACGCACTTTAAATTTCTCATATACTTCCATAGACATTTTCTATTATTTTATCTTATGTTTCGACAGTTATTCAGAGTGCCCGCTACGCAGAAATACTAACGTAATTTTCCCATAACACTTGACGGGACCAAAAAGAAAATGGCCGTTGCATAGAAGTGACCGTTAACGGAAATTTTACTGTATTTATTTTTTAAAATATATATATTTTTTTAATTCGCTAATTAATGAAATATTATTCGTCTATACACAGTCACGTGGCCAGTGCGGTCTTGGGTAGGCCGGGCCCACCTCAAATTTATTCTGGCTCAGGGCCAGTCACCCCAAATTCAAAATATAATAATTTTTACCAAATCATCAAAAATATGATTATGTATATCGAAATACATCTAATGTGATTACTACTAGGTAATACAATTATTATAATACCTAAACGTTAATTTTTATATTCGTGGATAACGTTATCTGAAAAAGGTAAATAATAGGGTCTTGATAAAAATAACTGTTTTATAGACAATAATAGACTAGCCTTACCTAAGGGCAGAACTAAAAGATTTACCAAAAACTATCAAAAATATCAAATTCATTATAATGTTAAAGTAAACAATTCGATGAATCCAATTGTACTGCTTGAAAAGTATAAGTTTGCATTCGATGAAACCTATAGGCTATCACCACAGTTTTGTTCGTTTCAATAAACAAGTTTGACAGTAAAAAATAAAAATCGTGTTTCAATGAAAAAATTTAATATTCCATATACCTATAATAAAAGAAAAAAAAGCTCATAAGCCACAAGTATTATCATAAAACAATATTATAGTATGCGTTGTTATACTGTGGGTTATACATTTGATTTTGTGTTTCTAATGTTTCAATTAAAATATCTATCGGATAATATCGGAAAAAATATAGCTGTATAATATAAAATAACAAATTCAACCGCGAAATTGAAAAATAATGTACTGAATAACCAAACAAATCCGTTCAACGTTTTATTAGCTATATCAGCCCATAATTTGTTTAATTTTGATGTGTAGTTAAAAAGAATTCGTATAGATGCCGCTAGCTAATATTATGCTGCATAAATAATTATTTAGTATTAAATACCGTTACTAGGAAATTGTAACCGATACAGCGTAGAGATCTATTGGTTTTACTATGATCTGTGTTTAGATTCTTAATGTCTTTTTTCTGTCTTTAAACAACTTTGAGACCAAAAATCTTGCTCCAAACGAAAAATAAAGAAAGAACTTTTTTGAAAAATGTTGGATCTAATTGGTAAGTTACTCGTATTACGTCACTTTTTTTGCATTTTCCGATCAGTTTTCATAATAATTGTAAATGACCGGAAATAGATATAAAATGAAAATGAATAAATTTACTGAATGCAATTTCATTATTTTTAAATTTTTAGAAATTAAGTATGTTTTCCAGATGTGATTAAATTTTCAAAATATTTGGGCGCTATTCATAGGTATTTTATATTTTCAAGTTTTATTATATAGTTTTTCTTTAATAGTTATTCATTGGATTTAAATGTAAATTTCACAATTTACATACCGGGGATCAATCGTAACTAAGGATAAATGATGCTAGGACAGAGGTGTCGTTAAGAATACTCCAATCGATTAAGGGATATTATAGGTTGGAAAACGTTCTGAAATCTAAAAACCCTATTCAAAAACAAGGATATACAATATTAAGACAGATTGTCTTATATGGTGCTGAAATATGGGCACTGAGAAAAACAGAAGAATTGAAACTCACCGTATTTGAGAGGAAAGTCCTCAGAAAAATCTATTGCCCAGTCTTCGGTAATCAAACTAAATAATGGAGAAAACTACATAATGATGAACTCCAAAGGCAGTTTTAGAGGCTGGATATAGTTAGAAACAAAGCTAGGAGAAGATTGATATGGGCAGGCTACGCCTGGCGTAAGTAGGAATCTTTAAATAAGTGGTTGATTGAGAAGGAACTTATAAGGAGGAGACTAAAGTTAAGGTGTGAAAGACTGTGTAAAGAAGGACGTCAAAATGATAAGGCCAGAAATTAGCTGAAGAGAAGCTGCAGAACACAGGAAAAGATGGCAATAAAGGAAGAAAGTAATACTTGGATACGATTGTTTTAGCAAACAGAAATGCTTACAAATTTAACACGAGGTCCATTATAAGTTGTACATAGCGGAAGTTTTTTTTTTATAATCGTTTTAAAATCAAATTTTGACAAAAATCATTAATATTACAAGCGTTTCAAAACATGTACAACGGAACTTCACCAGAATCGTATTCGTTAGCAAAGGCTTTCACGACTTTCTATCTACAACAGTGGCGCATCCATCAGCAGTATCAATTCTTCATTTATAAGAAATTTGTGTATACATATATATATATTTTAAGGAAATGATCTGTATTATTGAATAACGTAACCATATATTATGTTACAATGATATAAAAATTGAAATTGATCATAGCTGTAATCGATATTAGCTATTCAATGTCGGGAATATTTTCATTCGTACACGCATTCCTTAAATTGGAAAAAAAAAAGCATAAATTATAAAATGGTAATGTATAATTATAAAAAAAGTATCGATTTTAAAAATAAAAAATATCCGAACTGATCTGTGATAAATAATAATAAAAAAAAATTAAACTAAACAGAGTTGTACCGTAAAAACGTGTAAGGGTTTTGGAAAATTGAATAATAGCAATTGTTCAGCTGAATGTTTTACTGAACATTAATCATCAAACGATAAGCATAACCAGAGTCGCTCGAATTACCCTATCTATACACCCACCACCATCACCGAAACCGCACACATATAACCGTCGCCACCGCTGGTGCTGTACACAGCTGCCCAAAGTACACACTCCATGTCGCCGCATCAACTGCCGCTACAACATTATCCTAACTATTATAGAAAATACTCGGTCAGTCAAAAAATTAAATCAACTTTCAACGTAAAAATTAACACGACATTTTTTGAATTGAATTTCAGGTAGAAAAAAAACGCATTATGATAAAGGAATAACCACAACGGCGAATTGTAAAACCATTACGTTCCTTTCTCCGCTCGGATTTTAAAATAAAAAAAAAAAAACCATTGAATACAATACAAGTATTGTTATATGATTAGCAGAGTATTCGATTACATATTTAATTCGTAAGTATTCGCGTTACTAGACCTACCACTGTTGCCACTGTTTGTTGTTTTTATTACTGCAACAGCTGGTATTACTACAATCGAGCTCGTATACTACCTATTATTTAAAAAAATAACGAATAATAAACGAGATTAAAACCATACAGGTATACCTATAGGTACGTAATGTATACTAATAAAAAGTTACTCGTACAATATCAATTATACGATTTTATGTGGGTCGCGTCGTAAAAGTTTTCATTCCGTCTGTCCACGGAGAACGGACCTAAACCTATTCAATGCGTGCACTACACCTCGTTCTAGCTGGTGCGGTTGTCACCGTAACGAAAAAAGGATATCCAGAACGGGACTCCAGACCGACGGGTTCTGTCGACGTGGTCGCCAAGAGGAAGGACAGAACGGGTCTCCAGGTCGGCTGGTTCTGTGAATCGGGCTGGGGAGACTATAGTTCAGGGGCATTAGATTTAAGTTGGCAATATTAAGGTTTATGTAAGTGGGTGCAGTAATGAACTTGCGCCTGCGCACCCTCACAACGTGTAAACTGTATATATTTGTATTAACTGCACATGTATATGTATTGATATATTAAATTTGTGTGGGTCGAATAAACACACAGTGGAGTAGTAATTTATTTCAAGTCCTACAGTGCTGTCAGATTAAAAATGGGAAAAACGGCAAGGAAACGATGACATTGCCCATGATCTTATATATTTACAATGAATTAAAAATGTTGCCAATTTTTTTTTTTTTTTTTTTTT